AAAATCTCTAGTATGGCTCAACAGTGGTAAAAGTCGATTTGTGGAAAGGTTGTGGGGATTGGACAAACTTGCATCACAAAAGTTGCATCACATATTTCTGGAGCGACTGGTTAATAAAACAAAACAGTTTTTTCATTGGGTGATTAAAGTGGCAGCAAATATGAAGATAATTCAAAATAAGTAATTTATGGTAAATTTGATCAAGATAAAAATATCTGTGTGCATGCAGCTGTATTTAATCTTAAAAATATCTAATGCTGAACTCACTTTTTATGTGTATATACTAAAAGATAACTTGTCTGTACGTGTTACGCAGGCTTGAGAACAGGAGTCTGCAGGAGAAACTGGAAACCACAAGGTCCAGAGCCAGTGAAACCCAGCTGGAACTCGGCGAGAAACTGGCCCAGGCAGTCACTGAAATTACTTTGCTGCATCACACACTGCGAGGGCTGACCAATGAGCTACACGCAGCTCTCAATGACCAGGTAACGCCTAACAACTGTTAAACCTAAATCAGAACAACAGAAATTTGTGTCTCACTTTCATATGTGCCCATGCTTATGTTCTGTGCATAGATACAGCATGCAAGGCTATAACTGTATTTCTAGTAGACTGTTGGTGGCACCACTGATTGTTCAGTTCTCTATACGGGTGGTGTCAAATTTTAAGAACTCATTTTGTAAAAGCAAGTATTCCTGAAGTGAACTGAAAGTAAGTGGACTGCAGAGATGAAACACATTTTTTTCATCCAGGCTTTGTATGTCTAACTTTTTAGAAACCGGAATCACTGAAGGATAGAGAGTCTCAAGCAGTCCACAACGTGGAGCGTCGTCACCCCTCCAGCTCTTTTGTCGACAGCATCATGGTTGCATTAACTACTGAGAAGGAGGAAGATGTCAACACGGAGACACCTCCTGGATCAGGTACTGTAGCTCACCCCGTGTCTTGAAGTGATACTCTTTCCAAAATGTAATCGCTAGCAGTCTTATAAGTGTTGTTTATGACAGTTCATTCAGGATGACTTGGTTCTTTTAAGAGACAGGAATGTAACTTGTCATAGATTTAATTTGCTCATAAAAGCTGTCAGTTATTGAGCTTCTTTTAACCTTGAACACAACTAACAACATTCAGATTGTCTCTGTGATGTTGCTCAAACTCATGCGGGTGGTCAGTCTGAATGGGTCGGGGGGAGCTGATATAAGAATTCAATTTAATATGGAGCAGCGTAGTCATTTATCAGGTGCAAGTGTCTCTGAACAGTGAGAGAGAGATTCTCCTGAGACCTCTGTTTGATTTAAATAGCTCAAATGTGGGTTGAATGTGTTCAGCAGACCATAGATATCCTTAAAGCCAAAAATAACAAATTTTCCATTTCAAAAGTAGATGGTGACAATGGCATGTTTTTCAGTACTCTTATTCTTGTCCTTTTCTACATTATGTGCATTATCTAACATTTTCAACACGGATAGTAAACGCACCTGTCATTTTCTGCCTTTTTTCTATGCCATAAATTTCCCACTAGATTTTGAATTAACACATTTCTTACAATTAACATCTTGAAGCAATTGAGTTGCAGAGCTAGCGTTTGCGTACATACATATGAAAAATCAAACTCAGTTCAGAGAGCGCTTAAATGTCATCTAAGGACTTTGGGCAATGGGAAATCTAAGTTGTAGTTCACTGTCTTTTCAGTCCCCTCAGACATGCCTGAGCCACAGTGTGAAACTTTGTTCAGTGAGACGAGCGCCTTCACCCGCATTGCAGCCGTCACTCCTAAAAAGAATTTGAACGCAGTAGAGTTTGAGCCCAAGGAGGACGAACAGAGCAGCGTCGCAGAGCTGTTCGCTGACCTGGGCAGCACCGTCACAGAGCTCATCAGCACCCTGAAGTTGGTGCGGCAGACTAAAGATGCTCAGCTGGAGGAGCTGCAAAACACCATGTAAGTGATGTACATAGGGATTTAAATAAATGGGGAATATATTTTGAGATTATGGCATTTTGTTAGTAAATTTCATATATCTTCTAATATTCTTGTAAACTTACTTCTGATCTCAATGAATGTTTACAGTTCCCAAATGTAATTCTTTATTTGTTAAAGGCACCATTTATTCAAGCTTAATGTAAAAATTAAGGTGTTGTGTGAATTCTTCCTTAAATAACATTATCTTATGCATTGTTCCAGCTCTGGCCTGCAGGTGGAGCAGCAGGCTGCAAACAACAGACACCAGGCTGAGGTGTTTGAGCTTAAGCATCAACTTGGCCGTCTCAACAGCCTGGTTGAGAAAGGAAGTCAAGCACTGCAGCAGAAAGTTCAGGTAAGAATTAAAGTACATCTCCTCAGTGCTGACTTCATCTACGATTGGAAAATATGGTATGGAAGAGCTCCGAAATGGGAACCCCGAAATGAAGCAAAAATTGTTTCTCTTTACACAGGATGAGAAAACTGTGACAAAGTTGATGTCAGAAATACAAGAGACCAAGGAACTTCTAAATAAACACAAGACTGACAGTAATGTAAGGCACAAAACCCTTATATCCATATATATATATATATTTTAAAAACAAATTCAGAATACAGTTGGCTTAAATGTAACTTTTTTAATTTATTTTTTTAAACAGGATTTGCGGAAGGAGGTGGTTGAGCTTCGTCGTTCCCTCCAGCAGTCAAAGGTGGAGTCTCAATTCCTGCGTGGGGAATTGAGAAAAGCTGGTGGCCAATCAGCTCCTGCAGCACATTTAATGGAAGAAAAGATCCAGTTATTGAAGGAGGTATGATGCTGCTGCGTACGGTGTGCTAATTGCTACATACTCTACATTGATTACAATACTTTTTAGGCTACTATTAAGCAAGCACTTCTCTGATTTTATGTAGGTGGAGAGACTGAAGTTGAGTCTTCAGGAGGTGGAGCAGGCCAGAGTTAAACTCCTTGAGAGAGCAAAAAGACATGTAAGTATCGGCTTGATGTACTGCAGCAGTTACTAACACTACTGAGTACATTTATCAGCGAATTTATCTCCTTTTAGTAAGATTATCTACATACGCAATAAAACTGCTAAAGAACTGTGATAAAGTGTTGTAATGCCTCTTACAGCAAGTCATCCACCAGACCAACCAGCAGAAAAGTGAGAATGAGCTCCAGATGTTAAACAACATGATCAATAAAGTCAGAGAGGTGAGGGATGATTTTCATATGTTGCTTTTGTGCCTTCTTTCAACTTCGTTTTCCTGTAAATACATTAAATATATGTACATTTGAGGTAATGAATGTTTTCTCTGCACAGACCCTGCTGTCTTTGCCGGATGTCATGAAGAATAGTGAACAACTCCAGCAGCTTATTGAATACATTGGCTGACATGTTTGTTATTGCCACCTGTGTTCATTGTATTTATGTCCGCTATGTTTTAGCTTGGCTTGTGTTTATATTTTTAGTATGATTTAAAATAAAGCAAGTTGTCTTTGTTCCTTTTCATATGTGTGTTTCAAGAGTAATGCCAGTGATATAATTAATCTTTAAAAATGTTTGTCTATTTTGCATCAGCAAATGTTTGCTAATATTTAAAACCGCACACAGACACAGTTCATTGTACATACGATGTACTGCAAACAGACGTGTTTTGCTCCAAGCTGGACAGTGAATATGACGCACTTTTTCCAGCGTCAGATGTCATTCGTAAGTGTTTTCCACTTAGTAATGTGATTATTGTTTTTAATTGTATACATTTGTGTGCCAGAGCAGTTAATATTTTGGCCCAGTATTTACTTCAAGCCATTTAACAGTTAACAGGAAAATCTGGTAGAAAGTAGTAATGAGACCTTAATCACACTCCACTCAGATTTTCATGTTTTGTTTTTGGTCATAACAAGTAATGTGGCAAATACACAACGTCATTCAGAAAATGTGTCTGTTTTACTTGCTGTCTTTATACAATATTTTTTACAATATCTAACAGCTGTTAGCAGTGCAATCATATGGTTTTTCTGTTTACAATTGAATTAAACCTCAACTGTGGTTGATGGGCTGTGACTAGTTGCACCTGAGTGGGTTTAAATCTCTGTCCCATGTTTTAGATATTGCTCGTCTAGTTTAACAGTATACAATAAGTGCACTGTGTGAAAAGATTTCCCACAAAAATCAACCTAATTCTTTATATTATAGCCTGCCATTAGACCGTAAACGAAGCTGGTATTACTCAAACAAATCTTTGTCACTTTTATCTTGAGTCCAGGTCTTACAATGATTAAACCACTGTCTTCTCAAAATTATCATTTGACACTTGCTGATTACTACTATCCTCATTTAATCCACTTAGATTTTAAGATTTAGCAGCACTTGAGAAAAAACAGGACCCCTTTCAACTTAGGATACTTTGTTGGGAAAAAAAAACTTCAAGTCATGTGTGTCAACAGAGCTTCTTTTCTGATAGAAAATTCAAGTGTCTTCACTATTATGAAGCATTTCCTTACGAGTCTCATCTTGTCAGATGCTGACTTTGTTTAAAGGGGGTTTCTGGTGTTGAGATAAAGGACTTGCACTACTTATCTTTATAGGCTAAAATATCGTGTTACAAGTCAATTCATTTTCCTGATTAGTGGATCTGTGTGGTATTAACTGGGTCTGTGTCTAAGTGCTGTGTTGATGTCTGGACATGATAATTGAGGCCGGTCACGGTTTCTGGTAATACTGTGGCTCCAGACAACACTTCAAACCAGCTGAGCTGAAACAGCAAAGAAAATAACACAAGCACAAAAGAAAAATGTGTTTGGGGGAATATTTTCTTTATGGTGGCCTATGTGTTGTTCTTTTGGCCCTTGTTTGTTTTGTAATATATTTGAATTATAAAATTATATAAATTCATTATCTTGCTAAATTCTTGCAAACCAAATCTTCCCCCTTGGAAAACAGTTATGTTGTCATATTACTTAAATTTTAAAAGCAATGATACATGAATAATTTAAATATTTTATTCTTAAAGAACAAAAGTGCTATAATTCCATTTATTTCCAAAAAGGCAACCTAATATGCATTTTCATTTGGCAACAAAATACATGCAAATATACCAAAGTTAATGTTATTCACACAAGCCACTTATTGCAAAGCCTATGACCATGAAGCACAATAATTTATTCTAACATTTCAAAGTCTGTCACTTAAACTAGCCAGTACTGTAAATCTTAAACTTGCACATTCAATTCATGACAAAACAAAAAAGCTTGCAACCACTGGTAGCCTCCAATGGCAGCATTGGATGCATTTTACACTCTCATATTCTGTGAAGAGGCCTTGACATTTAATTCAAAATGTATAGTGTTTATCTCAGTAAATTACCATCAATATGCAAAATGGGTTGTAGGGTTAATGTGGTAAATCACAGTTGTGTCAGGAGAGTTTAAAAAAAAAAAAAAAAGTCTGTTGAGTTTTGTCTTATTAAATCTCTCAAACAAACTAAAACAATCATCTCTGGCTCATTTGGTGCCGTCTCAAGTCTCTCTGATGTTCTGTTCACAAGGTAGTGAGATGCTCAGATCTAGATTCTCAGTAGCTCAGATGGCAGACACAAACCTGTCCATATTCCCTGGGTACGTGGGGTGTCTCAGGTAACCCCCTGTGTTAGAGATAGGACCTGCAGCACTGCTATACTGGGAGAAAGAGCCCAACTGCACTGGGGAGACCCTGCCGTAATGGTCCATGGACTCTGCCGACCCGTGGCTTGAGGAATGGAGGCGTCCTGTCATTGCATAGCCCTGGGTGTGGCCCTGTCCATATGAGCCCTGGGATGTATGGTGGTGTGGGTGGCCGTTTGGTCCCGAGTAGGTGAACCCGGGATGCGTAGAGGGGCGGGATGATACGACCCCTCCACACGGTTGGCTCTGGAAAGCCGGGGCTACCAGGCTGCAGGGACTGGATCCGTTTGGATTCCCTTCGGGACTGAAGCTGCGGCTCGGTTGCTGCATCACCTCTGGGCCTTGACCTCCTAGCATGCTAGCTGGAGTTGGGTGACCTATGATATTATTGATGCTGAACATGCGGGTCTGACCAGGTCCAAACCCAGGAGGAGATGAGGAGGGGTAATAGGCAGAAGGCAGTTGCTGCCCGTAGGTGGGACTGACTGTCATGTTCGGGTAGACTGAGTTGGCATATGCGGCTGATCTCGCAATCTGGACAGGAGAGAAAACTGGTGTCTCATGGACATATGAGGTGTAAGTGCTGAAGTCACAGCGCTTAAACCTCTTCCTGCGCCTCAGGAAGCTGCCACTCTCAAACATGTCCTCTGCATTTGGGTCTAAAGCCCAGTAGTTGCCCTTCCCTGGCCTCCCTGGCTCTCGAGGGATCTTGATAAAGCAATCATTGAGAGTCAAGTTATGGCGGATTGAGTTCTGCCATTTCTTTGAATTGTCTCTGTAGAAGGGGAAGCGCTCTGTGATGAATTTGTAGATGCCCCCCAAAGTCAGCTTGCGGTCAGGGGAGTTTGCTATGGCCATGGAAATGAGTGCGATGTAGCTGTAAGGGGGTTTCCCTCGCTGGAGAGGTCTCTTTCTTCTCCGACCTCTGGGCTGCTCCTCTGTCTGCGGTGGAGGGTTGGAGGCAGACGAGGTGGTGTCTGCTGGGGAGTCATTCTCCACTTTTACCACTGGCATTGTCAGGGACAGTTAAAAAATGTCCCGTAAAAAGAAAATTATAAAGCAAACTTACTGCAAATGCTGCGCAGGGTTAGTACTTCCACAGTTTAGATGAAGTTCCCTGAGGAAAAAGAATAAATCCTGCACAGTGGAAACAAAACGAGATCAGCCCAGCACACGATCCTGCTTGAAAGATCACACTTGTTTCTTACAACTCAGTGTCTTTGAGTCCAAATCCAACAGATCTTCAGGTGCAGTGGGAGTAATTTGCTTTTCCAAGAGATCCTTTTTCATTAAATGCTTCGCTTGTTCAGCTTATTCCCACAGTTTGTTGTCAGGTTGAAGAGTTAAAGTGTGAGAGTGGCATGAATATCTGGTGTTTAAGGTGTGTGTGAGAATGAGTCACTTTTTACCTGAAGAGTGTCTTACCTCGACAGAGCACCTGTGGGACCACACCCCCTTAAGCATCACATGCTCTTGACATACCTCCACATTATAAGGGTCTATTGTTCAGGTTTTACTTTACAAGTCTGCAGACATTGTGGTGGAAATTCTATTTTGAGGGTTTTAAAAAGTGTTATGTAAGTAATTTATCTAATAAATATATCCTCATATTATATCCTGAAACGGCAAAAAATATCTACAGTCCAAATCAGAATCTACTTTTCTGATTAGATTTTAAAAAGTTTCAACTATTGTGAATCAAAAAAGTATACATATATTTTTGCATTTTATATATTTACTTTCGACTATCAGATTTATTCTAATCAGGACCTTTTTTGTATCATAGAACAGAACTGTCAAAGCAAGCAGCGTTTTCTTTTTAAATTCAAATTGCCCTTTAAAGCCGACCTCAGTTTATTTAATTAAGTCCAAAATGGTCCATGTTGTTTTGACGTTTAACACTAAAAGACCTCTTTAGTGGTAATTTAACCTATGAGTTGTTTTTCTATCTTGCTTCCTTGTTTGTTTTGTGCCAGTGGTTGGACAAGCCAGCTGTGTTAAGAGATGTTGAAAAATGTAAATGTTTTCCAGACAAAGGCTGTCCTGTGATTTCAGCATGCAAAATATAGGCTATCATCATAATGCCTGGACGCAACCCGAGAGACAGGAATAACCAACTCTCGACATGGAAATTATTTATTGAAATTGATTTTGAATATGAATGTGTTCAAGGAATTGGTGGTAATACTTGCTCGATACGTTTTAAAGTTTCTTTGTGTATTAGTCAATTTTTTGCAGTGCAGAAATTGCTGCTCACTTTCTTTCCTTTCTTGGATAGTCTAATCTGTGAAAGCTCTTCTTTTAAGCTGACTTTAAACACTATTAAATTTCACCGGCACCAATCGAGACAATGCTGACACTCTGAGCAACTCTGGTGGTATGAAGTCCGGGGACTCCACAGGGCTGGGGTTCACCTTAATCACTTAAACAAACAGAGAGGAAAACACGGCAGCACACTCCCACCGCTCAACACCAGGCTGGGTTAACACTGCAGGTATGTGTCAGAGCGGGAGCTTGGTGAGAGAGCGTGGGTTTGCTCAGACAAACAGCTTGATGAAAGGTTTAGTCCTCTGGGCAGGGCCGGGGGATGTGGCTCTCCTGGGCTGGACCTGTAGCACCATGTTATATGATGGGGTGGGGTGTATGATGAGTTAATTTGAGAGTCCACCAACCTGTTGACTTTAATTCAACTTTGTCATTATTCCTAGGAACAGAATAAAAACATTCATTATAAAAAATAAACCGTTTAAAACCGCAGGACCATTTTAATTTACAATAAAAATATTTTTCATTTTAAAACCTTCAGTAAGTTTATTTAGTCAAGACTTGGATGATAATTTGATTATTATCAGATAATGAGACATTCATTAGAAAGTTGCAGTATTGTATACTGATTGATTTAATAACTCATGCTGATAAGACTAAGCCACTATTTTTATCTTACGTTATATACATTTAGAATATGTTTATATAACCTTAGTCTGCATTTTATTGATTTTTAGCATTTGACATTTTTTGTATGATTGTTACTAAACATCCTATTCGTTTTGTACCTTTTTTGTTTAGCTAAATCCAGCATGTACTTCTCTTTAGAGTACACAGTGACAAACAAAGTCTGTTGCTGCTGCTTGTTTTACATATTAAAATATACATTTGTATTGGATCACAAATGTTTAATTGTGAACAATATAATTATTATATGTTTTTTAGTGATCTGTGAGTAAACAGGGATTTTCCTAAGGTTTTACATGTATATACTGTAGAAGGCTCTGAGTGTGTCGGTTTGTGTGCACAGGGAATGCAAAGCTACCTGGCACTGTCTGTGAAGGGAGACAAGGAGAGGGAAATACACAACCTCACTGAAACACAATGGATAGTCATTGTGAGCATTTACAGCCTAACTTTAAATACAGGTAAATTAATGCTGATATATTTATTCCTCAGCAGAAAAGCATTTATTTTGATAATTGTTTAAGTCATTTATCAAGCAATTTTCTTCCTAAATGTGAAGATTTTATCTCACTGTATGAAAACATTTTCGTTTTGGACTGTTGGTCGAACAAAACAAGCAATTTAAAGATGTCACAAGGGATCTTGAAATTTGTGTTGGACATTTATCAGTTTTAGACAGTATATAAAGTATATATAAACAATATATATAAGCAGTTAATATAAATAAATAATACAATAAAGAATAATGGAAAAAAATATATATAAAGAAAATAAATGTTAGTTGCAGTCCTAATGTAAATAAACGTTATAGGCTAGCATCTAAAACATGTATATCGATATCTTTTGGTTCTTTTGTCTAAATAGTAGCTAAATCAAATTAAAAAAGCCAGAAATATACTTGAATAAATGGTGAAACACTTGGGCGCACCATCTGTGTGACTTCACATCTGTAGTTGATAAACAAATTAACATGTGGTTTCTCGGTAGTCTAGTTCTACAATAAATTCTGCAGCTAGGTAGCATTGTAGTACAGTAAACAATAAATCAAAGAAGTCAGTAGAAAGTGCAAATATACTATATACACAATACAAAACCATGCGGTTAAAACTAAGTGTTCTCTGCAGCAAAGCAAGAGGTAGTATGGCGTATTTGCATTAAGCACATGTATTGCACATATAGTCATTTACAATTTGAACTTGTCATCTTAAACAGTTTTTAAACAGTAAATTTCAGTTATGTTTTTTTAAGGCACAGTGTAAACACATGGCATATTGCATTAAGTTAATGCACCCTGATCCACATGACTGTAATAATGTGTTTGATTGTGTGGTTACTTTACTTCATCTCCTGACAGATGTGGTGGACAAGCAGTATAGTTTGCGAGGGACCTCACCCTTTCCTTAAGACAGCTTCTTATGCTTTATGGCTATGAACAATTAGTGGTGAGTAATTTCTCAGGTACCTGTTGTTACTGGAGCTCAGGCTCATAGTTGCCATAATTTGCTTATGCATCATAGATTTGGCACTCACTGCATTTACTGTTAATATTTGTTCATGAGTCTTTCATCTCAGTGTTTGCGCTTGTGATAAAAAATAGTTATAGATAGTTAGAAAAGAGTTATGTTGCTGAAAGGTGACTCTACTGTCAACATTTGTGATCAGAAGCGTTTTATAGCGTGTCCGTGTGCTTCAGTGACTTAATGATCCTCAGTTCATGCCAAATATGTCGTGAGACTTGAAAACAGTTCTCGTTTTGAACTAAACTAAACTAGACTAACAATGAATACAAATCTTATTATTCTTTGATTGCTTGACTAGCTGCTATAATCATTATGGGGGGAACTGATGGGGCATTATCACTCAAATCCGCTCCACCTCAGCTCTGTGTAGCTTTTTAGTATCTTTCAGCTCACTGTTTTGGTATTCTAGCCTGCAACTTTACTGTTGGTTCACTCTCACCGATCTCATCATCAGAAAAACCCTGATAAACCCATTGTACTTTACATGCACAGCACCAAACAGGCGTTGAATTCCTGGATGTGTAAATAAGCAATTGTTGCTAACATGTTATGTAAATGCTATGTTACAACTGGCCCAAAAAAATCATGATTAATGCAGCCTTAATTAATAGGAGGTAGACAACATAACATAATCCCATAGAGGGGATGTTACAGAGTGTCAATTAGCTACAGTATGAAACAAAATAATCAAATCATATATACCAAGATTGCAGTTGCATAAGTTAAAAACAAATTGGATGTATGCATATGGATGCATTAATAAAACAGACTTTTGTTGCAGAGTTTAAAATAATAATTTATTTACCTAAGTCAAAGTAAGATTTTCATGAATTTTGTTATTTTGTCTTCTTGTACTCTCACACAGCAACTGCAGCTTCTGAATCCTTATCTGTTGGACTAGTCCAGCTAGCTGTAAATGGAGTCTTCCTTTTGAAGTATACTTGGGTCTAGCATCACTGAGTATATGTTAGGGCCTCCACAGCAAGGGCCCTGGAGCCATGCATTGATGCCGCCGTGAGAGGTCTCCACCTGTCCATCACAGCACAGTGGGGAGACGCAAATGACGACTAGAGGCTGGGACAGCTGCACATGAGAGCAGTGCTGCAGCCAAGGCAAATGAAGAGCTCTTCACTTTGTGCCTCACATATACTACTGGCTATGCCAGAGAGAAACGGCTCTCTCCAAACAAAGACAAACAAATTAGACATTTGAATTTGAACACTTGACTTTAACCATTTAATGGTATACAGGTGGTGGATGACTTTAGGACTTTCACAACATGAAAACAGGGCACATGTTACAGGCACTGTAGGTGAAAAGAACAGATAATAGAAGATCCTTAACAGTAGTTGTAGTAAAGAGTAGAAAGTCTGTACTATGCATAAGTATTAAATTAGGTACAGCTGGGAAAAAATGTGTGACAAAAGGACAAAAAAGAGAAAAAAAGCATTTGTACAAACTGATATACTGTCATTAATAAATGCCACTGTAGCAACATGTAATTGAAATTAAAGACATTTCCACAAAAAGCGGATCGGTATATTAGCTGTACTGTATATTTAAATGAGTAATACATTTAAAGAACTCACTTTCAAAAAGAAAATAATTTATCAATAATTTTAAAAGAAAAAAAATCATCATCACTAAACCTGCTTTTTTTTTTTTTTTTTCAGCGCAAAAAAGTTTTGAACTCAACATTGACATATTATGGCGTTATGTTTCTGGCCAGTATCTCTTTTAGCTCAGTGTTTGACCTCTACCAACTCCTGAAGGCAATCTCTCACTCTGTACAGTATCTACAGTAAATACTCGACTTATTGTCATTTGGTATGTTTTTATTATAAGAGTGTAGCTGCTTTATATGTTTAAATACAAACAATATT